CCAAGTCACCATTGCGTTCTCCATATGGCAACCTACAATTCATTCATTTTTCCTTCATGTTAGTGCTGCGACCTCACTTTGCCGTAACCACGAGCGATCCTGTAGGCAGCAAACATCTGTCTGGTACCGAGGACGAGCCGAAGAGATAGATAACGCACGATGTTCCTCCAGTCAATTCATCCCACATGCAGTATCCGAACACACCCATGTGGGCCCAGGGCGCCCGATAGCAGTTCTCTTCCACTTCCGCTTCTTGTCCTTCTCGAACCCTGAAGGTCCCAGCCCATTTGCACGCACCAGCAATCGTCAAAACTGGGCTGGGCACAAGAATCCTAGTAGCACGCCCGAATGCGCTGGCAAAGCTGATGGTAGCAGACACGGCTGAAAAGGTCAAGCTAATGGCCGAGACGGTCTTTCCAGAGAAGCAAGTTTGACAAGACTAGGATGTCCATGGCAGGACAGGCAGCATTTAGAGCTATCAAGGTACACAGCGCAAGTTCAAGCAGCCTCAAGCTCGCCATGGTCGCCGCGGGAAGGATGGTCCGATCCTGAGGTCACTTTTGGGCGATTTGTGCCCGCGTACTTTTACCCGGGTTTGCAACCTAGTGCGGATTTTTTAGCCTAAAATGCCTTGATCTGTACCCCAGATTTGTCTAGAGGTAACTAGTTTTGGGTAAAAGTGATCTGAGCGGTTACTACTTTACCCCATAAATAGCTACTTTTGTAAGAAAATAGAATGAACGGTCATTTGACTTTGGGAATATTTGCACTACTCTCAAGATACGAAGACAACGTAATTTCTTGTGTTGCAAATTGCCGAATCTTCATAAAATGGAAGAAGTAAGCCTGAGCTTGTCTCATGATACTTTTTCAACGTCAGCTTCAAAGAAATTGCCTTGCAAATTGATGGCTTGGTGAGCGAAGGTCAAACTCTGTCCGCTTCCTATCTTCGACATCATGATATGAGCGTGGCCATTCTCACTGTCGTGGGATGGACCGCTTCCCGACACTCCGTAAGTGCTTCGTGACCTCTTGTACAATCATTACTGCTCTGTCAATGCGGCGTTTTCGTGTGGGATTACTGTCGCGGGCCATCTCAGTGCTGCACTACTGATCACTTGCCCGGGAGTGCATAAGTAATGTTATCACCAGCAGAGCAGTGTGTATATGAAGAGCATGGACCGCGGAGATTTCGGGACGGATTGCAGCCTAGGTATATAGTCTGCCGACCAGCACCGTCACTAACCCTCAATATACCGCTCTCATGATCTCGTCTCTGCAGCTCGCGCTTGCGGCAGCCCTCACATGGAGCCTATGGAGGCTTCTTCGTAACTTTGTCATTCGTTCACCCCTCGACAACATACCGGGTCCAGAACGCCCCTCCTTCTGGACAGGTGAGTTTCCCTGGTCTCACACCAGCTGCCAAAACGAGCTCTCCTTCTATCAGGGCATGTCAAAGACCTGTTCGGTCGTCACGGCTGGGACTTCCACGACAGGCTCGCCCGGCAGTACGGATCTGTTTCGAAAGTGTACTCAACGCTGGGAGTACGTGCAATACGCCTGTAGTACGTGCACAAACATCCTAACTACCGTGTTCCAGACTCCGGGCCTATATGTCTACGACCCCAAGGCCCTGAATAGTATCGTGGTCAAGGATCAGCACACGTATGAAGAGACATCGTGGTTTATCAAGTAGGTGTCAGCGCAGCCTGAAAGTAGTGGTCGCCCACGCCGACTGTCACAGGTGGAACCACATGATACTTGGGCCGACGCTGTTTGCGACGCTAGGTAGATACACTGTAGCAAGCTCCCAGTTTCGCTAAGATATTGAGCTCTGCAGGCGAGCACCACCGCAAGCAACGCAAGATGCTCAACCCCGTTTTCTCCATCGTGCACATGCGCTATATGACGCCAATCTTCTACAGCGTCGTCCATCGCGTAAGTCTGTCTAACTCTTCTAATTGTTTCAATGTCTCTATCTTTCCTGTGCTAGCTTCGGGGCGCCATCTCTACAAAGATCGACAGCGCCTCTGGGGAAATCAATCTCATCGAGTGGATGGCTCGCACTGCGCTTGAGCTCATCGGGCAAGGCGGCCTCGGATACTCGTTCGATCCGCTTGTGTCTGACTTCAACAATGAGTTCGGCGCCGCTCTCAAAGAGTTTGCGTACGCACCGCCTTGTAGTGTGTTTGCCCCGCTCCCTTCTGACACTCTGGCAGGCCTATGACATTTGCGATGCAAATCTGGCGCATGCTGACGCCGTACTATACGTCCTACATTCCCCTTGCGATCCGCCGGCAAATCATTAGATGGGCGCCGCACAAGAAAGCGCAGAAGATGCGCGCAATTTCAGAGACAATGGCAGCTCACTCCAGGATGATATACGAGGGAAAGGTAGCCGCACTGGCCCAAGGTGACGATGCCGTCGTACGCCAGATTGGCGAGGGAAAGGACATCATCAGCATTCTCAGTGAGTGACGTCGCTCACACTTCTGATCAGGACTTAATCAGAGCTTGTGGTGCAGTCCGAGCGAACATGGATGCTTCTGAGGAAGACAGGTTGCCCGAAGAGGAGATAATTGCCCAGATGTCGTAAGTATCTCCTCTGGCACAGCTGGATGTGCGAACTCACGAGATTCCGTATGCAGTGGGCTGGTTTTGGCCGCCACTGACACAACATCCAATGCCCTCGCGCGAACGCTTCATCTCTTGTCCGAGCACCAAGATGTCCAGGACAAGGTTCGCGCAGAACTCGTGCAGGCGAGCCCCGACGGCGAAGATATTCCGCACGACCAGCTCGTCGGCCTCCCCTACCTCGATGCGGTTTGTCGTGAATCATTGCGCCTGTAAGCCACCAACGAAATATTCGATGCTCGGCACTCAATTTGACCCATACAGGCACCCACCTGTTAGCTTTCTCTCTCGCGAGTAAGGCAGCCACGTTCAGCTCTGTTGCCGATAGTTGCTAACCTAGGATTGCCAGGACGCGTGAGGATATCGTCATGCCGCTGTCAGAACCCTTGCAGGGCCTCGACGGCACGCCCGTCGGCGAGATTTTTGTGCCAAAAGACACCCCAATATTTGTCTCCATCCGGGGCTGCAACCGGAACCCGGCGATTTGGGGCGAGGACGCGCTGGAGTGGAAGCCAGAGCGCTGGCTAGCGCCGCTTCCCAAGGCACTCAGCGAGGCGCATGTGCCTGGTATCTATGCGAACCTGTGAGCCGTCCTGTCTAAATTTTAATCCTCAATAGTCATATCCCCCTCCCTCCCTCGGGGTATAACCCACAGTATGACATTCCTCGGTGGTGGAAGGGCTTGTATGTAAGTCCTTCTTGAACACCTTTCAAGTTCGGCCCTCATTTGCATTTACAGTGGCCTCAAGTTCTCTCAACTGGAAATGAGTGAGTTGTCTGTACTGTGGTCATGCCTGACTTGGGCCTTGACTGCTATGCCTCTATAGAGGTCGTGCTGGCCATCATGCTACGATCCTTCCGCTTCCTTCCCAGCGATAAGGAAATTTATTGGAACCTTGCTGGAGTCAATTATCCTACGGTTGGTAGGGATGGTATAAAAGCCGAGATGCCGATGAAGGTAGAGGCCATTCATGCCTGAATTCTCCCTGTAATCGCTTGTCGTTTGTTTATCCGACATTCTTGCATTCATCTCTCTTTCCGAGTCTGTGGAAGGAATAAAGGCGAGGGAAGCAGCGAAAGCTTAAGATGCTGTCGAAAAGGCCGTAAACCGCCGTATAGTGGATCGGCTCCATGTGCGATGTGACATCCATCTTATCCTCATCCTCGAATGCATTGCGCAATAATTACAAAGCGCTAAAGCCGACGCAAGCATATTCTATGAGTTCTCATTGATATCTGGACTCTCGATGCCGGGGACTAGTACCAGAAAGGAAATGGCGCATCAGCGGCGGCTGCGTAGCGGAGCTCATATGTCGCAGCAACTCCGCTGGCTTGAGCTCATCTTAGGTTGTGTTGTTGCGGTCAATCATAGCTGAGTGCGTATGTCGCGGACGTCACTACCACTTGATGCATGCTCTGACATAGCACGACGGAAACGCAGAGTTCCGTCTGTAACATATGATCTCACAGCGTCCGTTCGGTTCTCTTGTCAATTCATGTCAGGTACTGACATGCTGCTGTGGCAGATTGGATGCGAGCATGCCGGCATACTGCCCTTCTTTCTCGCACCCCTGGCCCCCTTCGACAATCCTGTAAGATATCGTCCAATTGTGAACTCAGCGAGACTCGATGTCCGCTCCGCCGCGCGCACGAAACCCAAGCTTCCGGAGTTGTATGTGCCAGACCCTGGCGAAGCTGATTGGCCATTCTCGCCGGAAGAACTCCATTGCCTTCCTCGACGGCCGGAGTTGTTCTAGCCTCGACTATGGGCGTCCAACGCGGCTTGCTAGAGGGCCAGTGCGAATATATGGACGAACAGGGCACCCTTGTCGACGGTGGGGCTGCAGAGGGCCTGCCTTCTTATTATACCCGACCGCGCAAGGCTAGGCTGGAACAGCCCTTCAGCGGCGTAACAGCGACCGGGCCCTTATTGGTAGGCGTGGAACGATAGCAAGGTTGGCAGAGTTGATCCGCGATCGTCTGTCCGCCCAAGCTGAGGAACAGCCCACAAACACACGGCTACGAGACTTCGTGGCGTTCTTGACAAGTCCAGACTCTCAATAGCATGCGATATCTTTCTCCTTTCTCTCACTGCGTTCCGCGTTCTGGCCAGGAGCGCTCGGTGCCGCGCTGGCTTCAGCGATTCCTGTGGACAATACGATCCATATACGACAGTATCTGCGCCATGTTACCCTTCCATAACCGCAGATCCTTGGCAGTCGTGTGCGTCCTGTGCCTGAATTTCCACGTAACACGCCCGTCCGAGATGTACAGGAGCCTAACGCCGAGCGACATCTGGATGGCACCGTAACGGAGGTGTGAATGGTAAGTGAATTAGCCACGTACATCGCATGTCTCAGCAACCTTTCTCACCCCTGGACAATTATGCAGGCACATGGAGTCGTATTCCTTTCTGCCCTACTCCACATTCGAAACCTTATCTGAGACGTTAGATGTCGGAAAGGAAGGGGACAGAGGAATGGGAGTTGTCGATATAACGCTTTAAAAGGGGGTTACTGAGCGGTAAGAAAGCCGTGTAAGCCGTTTCTTATCTCCCTTCTATCTCACTTGTGATCGTTTTTCCCGGTAGTCACAGAGCGGTTAGATGCGATCAATTACAGCCACCCGGGACGCTCAGCCTGCGCATTCGACCACGCTCTCGCGCTGTCGGGTTGACACCCTTCTGCTTTCTTCTCTCCAGCACGGTACCTATCGGGTTATAGGAATCAGACCCTGCCAGTCCTTCAATTCTCCCGACGTTCTGTGTTCTGCAGTCACTGGGCCATTCATTTGCCCGTGCATCGCCTGAGCGTTGCCGTTGTTCTTTCATCTTTGCAGGAACTCAAATAGACGGTACCCGCGTGTTTCAACGTGCGGCCAGGGCCATCTCGTTTCCCCCTCTCCCCCGTAATTCGTATTCTTCCATGCGTCTCCTAGCTGTACTCGGCTCGCTCCTCCTACCGGTGCTCGCCAATGCACAGTATCAGATGGTCAAGGAGTACATCGGAGATAGCTTCTTCGACGACTGGGCCTTCTACAATAACAGTGAGCTTATTTCTTGCCACACCGCTGACGCAAGATACCAAATTGATATATTCAGACGACAACCTGACCAATGGCAATGCATTGTGCGTACACACAAGGCTTTCCCCGAGCGGAAAGTGTCCAGGCTGACGTCGCACTAGCTTCGTGAGCGCGAAAGAGGCCTCACAGGACAAGCTCGCATTCGTAAACGATGCTGGGAACGCCATCATGAAGGTGGATAACACCTCGAACCTTAACTTTAACGACAACCGCAACACGATCCGGATAACGTCGACCGACAGGTTCACTGTAGGAAGCCTCTGGATCGCGGACATGCTGCATGTCCCGTATGGCGTCAGTGATTCTATCTGGTTTCCCGACTCCATGTGTTGATCCTTCTTGATCGTAAGTGCTCGGTATGGCCTGCCTGGTGGTCATCAGCACCAAACTGGCCAGCGGGCGGAGAAATTGGTGAATCCTCTCTTGATTAATAGCCTCAGGCACCCGAACTAACTATTTCATCTCACCAGATACCCTCGAAGGTGTCAATCAGGTCACCATGAGCCATATGGCCCTACACACAGCGCCAGTATGTTTATCCTAAATGGAACCGGACAGTTCTGACGGGTGCACGGCAGGGTTGTGTGCAATCGAACACGTCGGTCGAGACGAGTACCCTCGTTAACACCACAGACTGCTCCACGCTTGCGAATAACAATGAGGGTTGCACCGTCACAACGCCAGGCGCGAGCTACGGCCCAGCGTTTGCCGCGGCCGGGGGCGGTGTCTTTGTAACAGAATTCGCTTCCAAAGGCATTTCGTGAGTACCATGCTGAAGAAAATTTCGAAATACTGAGCTAATGCGGCGCCGTGCAGCATATGGTTTTTTAATGTAAGCTGCTAAGCATCTTCGACATGGGCTAGGGTCTCACGCTCTGTTTCAGCGTACCTCACTTCCGCAGTCGTTGCAAGGGAACGCAAGCACGGTGGACACATCTACCCTTGGCACCCCGACAGGGAACTGGCCTTCAGACGGATGTAACATAAACTCTTTCTTTGAGCCGCAGCAACTCGTCTTCGACATAACCTTGTGCGGAGGTACGTCAGCCGTCAGATCGGCGAACTCGAAGCATGCTGACAAAACTGTGTCGTCGTCAGACTTTGCGGGGACCGCGTCCATCTTCCAGCAGACATGCACGGGCATATGCTACGATGATTGGGTTTTGGGTTCGCCGTCGAACTACGACACAGCCTACTTCGAAGTGCAGTACGTACGCGTGTACGGACAACCGGGAGAGTTGACTGTCATCCCGTCCGGTGGCGTCCGCTCCGCGGGCACCGCGGCTGTCTTCACCGTCCTCGTGGCTGTTGTGGCGGCTGTAACGCTGGCCTGGTAGAGCATGACCCTTTTGAAAAGCCTATTGGATCGCATGTGAGAGGCGGAGTGCGTAGAAAATACCCGCGGACACTGGATTATCTCGATCTATCACGGACTGTAGACTGCTGTATACGTAAGATGCTTTGTAATGACTGTAGCCCAAACATGCAGAGGACGTACAGCGGCGCAGAATGTGGGTACACTGCATTTATGCCCGGACCTGGCAACGACACGATGATGCACGACCGCGCGCGCCTCGAGCTCATGGGCGCTTGGATGCGGGAATGCGTGCAGACGCCCGCAGACGCTGGCGGGCAGCCCGGCAGGGCTGACAGCTTGGCTAACAGAGATGACGACCACCGGCTATGACGTTACAAGCTGGTGCGCAGAGTCTCGAATTTATAAATATCATAATCCAAAGCTGACAACGTCGTCCAACAAGCTTCCGAAATAGCAAAATCCCGCCAGCTTGTTCGCGCGCTCTGACGCGTCGGGCGGTGCAAAACTCGATTCGGACCAGTGGCAGCAGGCGCTTTCAATATGTCGTGCCTGATAGACAAACTCCCGACATGGCCCACGGTGCGAAAGCCTCTTAGACAGTGCTCGCGTCGACATCTCAGCGACTACACTGACGATCAACGGCGGGCTGACGCGCGTGCCGCCGGTTGTCCAACCCTGTCCGCCCGATCATATATAAGTAAGGAGCCCCTGAGGCTAGTTCAGCACTAGTCTCATCACTTGTCCTTCTCTGCCATGTCATCATTCACACCACAGCCGACTCCGGAACTGTTCAGTGTTAACGGACTCATAGCCGTCGTCACCGGCGGAGGAACCGGTCAGTCGCTCCTGCTTCTGCCCGATGTGCACCTCGAGATCCTGACCATCGATTATAATCATCAGGCATCGGCCTCATGATTGCAGCGACGTTGGAACACAACGGCGCCACCGTGTACATTGCGGGCCGCCGACTCGAGGTTGTCGAAAAGGCTGCGCGCGAAAACAACGTGGGCGTCCCTCGCAGTCTTGTTTTCCGGGTGCGCTAACCGTCCTGTGCTGTGCATGCAGCGCCACGGGAATTTGATCCCCGTCCAGTGCGACGTCACATCGACCGAGTCCGTGCAGCAGCTAGTCGAGACTGTCAAGTCCCGGCACGGGTTCCTCAACCTGCTCGTCAACAACGCGGGCATCGCCCGGAACCAGCTTCCCCCAGGGGGTGCCTCAGGGCCAGAGTCCGGGGACATCAAGGCGTTCCAGAGTGCCCTGTTGAACGCCGGCCCCCGCGAGGACTTTGGTCGGACGTTCGACGTGAACGTTACGGCGGCGTACTACACGACAGTGCAGTTCCTCGAGCTCCTCGATGCAGGCAACCGCAAACGCAACATGCCCGGCATCACAAGCCAGGTCGTCACTGTGCGAGTCTCGCGGGTTTCCGCCGCGACGACAAGAACTTCACGATCTCGTACACCGTCAGCAAGGCCGCGACGGTGCACCTCGGCAAGCTCCTCTCGAACATCCTCAAGGGCTGGCAAATACGGAGCAACGTCATCGCGCCAGGCATTTTCCCCTCGGGTGCGTGCAGCAATCTGAGTATGCCTTGAGACCGCTGTTGACCGAGCTGTTTCCTCTGTAGAGATGTCAGATGGCCTAGTCTCTGAGGATGCCATGAAGCTGGCCGTTCCGCTCGGCCGCCAAGGTGATATCAACGATATGGGAGGGCTGATATTGTACCTTGCGAGTCGGGTGCGTCTTTCCGTTTCTGTTCCTTCTTGTCTCCTGTCTCTGACTAATTTGCAGGCGGGGGCCTATATCAATGGCTCGGTGCAGCTGATCGACGGCGGACGTCTCTCGTTGTTCCCTTCGACATACTAAAAGATTCGTACACACTACTTATCTTGTATAAATTAGAGTTGTGGAATCATCGATAGACTTTTGCTCAAGCGCTTCTGACGTAGTGCGTAACGTTCAAAGCACGAATCGGCCTATGGGTACCTTCGCATTAGGTAAGCAGATGCCAACTCAGACTGCAAGAACATTCAAGCACGGTACCGGACAAGAGTAGCTGCTATACTTAGGAAGACGGAAAAGAGACTAACCCTAAGCTTGTTCATAGCGGCAATCCCAAGGGGCAAATGCATTTAGCTCTAGTAATTCGTTAAGTGTACCGTAACCCATGAAAGGGAGCATACAAGTATTACAGGCCATAACATCGAGCTTACTTCGAGTGCTTGTATGTCGCCGCTATGCGGGACCGAACAAAGTCGCCCGCAATGATAGGTTCGTATTTCGGGGGATGATCGGTCGACACACAGCTTGGAAGAGCCTGTGAAAAGCACCAGCCCTCAGTACCGTGTTTTCAGCAGCTAAAACGTACCAACCTCCAATAACACGTTGTAGTCTGTCCCGAAGAACAGTGGAATTGAATACCGCTCGATCCCGGAGCGGTTGATCGCACGGTGGACGGTGGACGTGAAAACATCATCTACAGCAAGAGCATGATTTTCATAAACGTTGAGCAAGACACCGACCGATGTGCTTACTCGTCCATCGGGCAAGCTGATCTCCCAGGCTGACACGAGCGCTGTTCAGACTCCTGATGACAACAAAAGCAGACCACGTACTTGACCACGAAAGTCCCGGGGATCGGAGTCGCGTCTACCCATTTTTTGTCCTTATTGAGAACCTGCAACGCTGGCACGTGATCCTGCCACAAGATCGTGAAGCACTAGCGGCGGGTTAGCTGACAGTTCTTCGCACACTCGGCGCGGGGTCGACTGACTTCGTAGCTGGAGGCACGGATAAGTAAGCCAGAGCGAGGTACGAACGCAGTCACTCACTCCGTGTGAGCGCCAATGCCTTGCACCCGGTCGTCGACGGTGCCGTCCTGCGATGGGTAGTACAGCAGTCGCATGATCGCCGCGGGCTTCGTGATCTGTGGTACATATGCGCGTGAGGATGGCGGGCGGCATGGAGACTATCATTTGTGCCGTCACCTTGTCTGCGAAGAAGTCCTCGGGTAAGTTGAGCGCGAGGGCAAAGACGGGGAACAAGAGTTTGCCGAGGGCTACAACCGCATAGCTTTTTCGTAACACAACATATGCAGTTAGTCACGATATATATAGAGAGACCAGGAACTCGGCGCATACTAGTAGCGCATGACGGCTTCCTTGAATCCGGGCAGCTCCCTCTCGTCCGGCCAGAGGTTCACGCCGGACATGGGACCGTCGTCTGCACGAACATTGCCAGACGGATCCTCCCAGCCGAGATCGAAGCCTTCGTGAAGGTCACCGCGGTTCTCTGGGTCGCTATTCTCTCCGAGCAGCGGAGTGTAGCCCTTAAAGTTCGTGCTCTTGTCAATACTTATGGTTTCTTTCGATGCCTGCGATAATGCGAAGAAACCCTTTGCTGCCTCTAAAGCGGCAGAGATGGTTTCTTGCGGGATACCGTGGTTTTTGACTGTGCTTCGACAGTGAAATTCAGGTAGCCATACGGACGGATGGTGCTTACTGTAGAAAAATCCGACATTCATAGAGGCATTGCGAACTTCGTCGGCTAGTGCGCGTCTTACAGATAAATCATCGGAGCGTATGTTATGCAAATCTCTGCAATGACACGCAGGTTGCATATGGGTAAACATGCAAGCTCATATATACTGCGATCACCTACATGACCGGTATCTCCTGAAATGCATTATTTGTATGGCGTTTAAAGAGCAGTGACGGTCCACTCTCAAGTGGTGCGCCTCTCCCAGGCTCCATGGTGGCTGAAGTGACCAAGTCAATATCTTTGGAGATTGAGCCTGATAAGGCTTTTATCTCAAATTAGGAGGCGCCTCGAAAATCCCTAAATTGGGCATACTGTATTTCTCCCGCAATTGTTATCTTGGTCGTCGCCGACGTCGCCGCCGCAGTCACCGTCGGTGTTGTCATTTTCTGGATGTTGGAAGCAATGCGACAAGAGCATAGATTATGTTGAGATAGGCATTCCGTAGATACCATGACGCTGAGTATTGTTATCCTTGTACTCCTTTGGCCTCCTTTGGCCGACAGCCTCTACCTCGCCCAGAACGCCGCCTCCAATCCGCCTGCTTTTGTCTGTGGGAGTTCATTCTACCTCACAGGAGTAACAGTCAAATGGAGATCCGAGAGCAACAAGGAGGCAGGCCACGCCATCACCGCCACGGTGCGCGGCAAATAAAGGGGGATGGCGGAGCAAACACTTTCCCGCTTTTTCTCTCAACCTCTACATCCCCAAACGCATACTCGCACTTTTACCTCGTTTTCTGCGAAAATGAACCAGCATACATACATCTCTTTTACTCCCAGAGCTCCTCAGCCAACGTATCCGTACCGGCAGACGTCGTCTTTCAACCTGATGCTCGTGTCACAGTCCACGTCGACATACCCGCCCGCCACCCCGCCTCTGGTGGCACGCTCGCTTGCTTCAACACCGTCGTCATCCACTCTGCCTGAGGTCGAAGGTGTACGAGGGCTGCCTGCCGATGAGGCTGAAATCCTGTACGCTACAGGGCTGGACAGCTTGGGCTTGGACGCGGACGAGCCGAATCGGTGGGCGGCGAGCTTGCAGGACGAAGTCGTGGGGAAGGCCGCCCCTGTTTACGCACAGAAAGACCCACACAAACCCGACGAGAAGGCAGCACCGTACATACCCACCATTGTGAGGAGGCGTGCGGCGGCAGACCCTGTACATTGCGGTATCGAAGTTAACACTTGGCAACCACACCGCGAATGGCTCCGACCTTTCCGCGCAGGCTCCGTGACGTCTTACTCGGGAGTGCGCGCAGGATATGCACGAGATATCGTCGGCGCGGGGCCTTGGTCCAACGCGGTCCTGTCCGAGCTCGCTGCTAGGTTCGTTGAGCGTGTCGCCGAGGGTTGTTCAGAGACACTTGCTTGTGTGGCTCCTCTTGCGTCGGAGGTCCATCGGTGTTTCCTCCAGTATATTGGTCAAAGCACAGCGACTGCTTTCCTGCAGTATCTCAAACAGCACCTCCTGTCAGAATATCGTGCATGGTGGCTTTCGGTATGCCCCTTTCGCCTCTCGTTCTCTTACCTGCTTAAATCCTTCGTTCCCCTCCTCAGTCGCTGCCGTCTGCGATCGTTAACCTGTTCGTGTGCTCTCCGTCCCCGCCCCACGCCCCGCCATTCCGGAACGTCTCATCCGCAATTGCGGTTGCTACGTTTATCGGCGACCTCTTCTGCGAAGGCTTGCTCACGGGCTCGTTCGTGCAACTCTGCATGAATCTTGTGCTTGACAAGCTCTTGTGTCTCGAAGAAGTCGAAGCGCTCCACGCTGTCATCCACCACTCCGGCGAGCGGCTATACGACCGTGTACCTCTGGACGACTTCCTCGTCAACCTGCAGGTGCGCTGCTCGGGTGCGCCGCTGACGAGCGCGGTGGGGAAAATGGGCATATACCAGGACGTGCAGTACCACGTGCAGGTGCGTCGCGCAGCGTCTGGCGCCCCGTGCGCTCTATTGATAGGACTGCGTGACAGGCCATCTCGTCGCTCATCGAGGGCTGGGCACGCGCACGCTCGACGCCAACACCCTCTGAATTCTCTGAGTCGACCACGGAGTATTCAGACTACAACCCCGAGCACACTGTCCACCGGTCGCACAACCCACCTCCCGCGAACCAGCCCGCGGAAGCAATGGCGGCGGCGCGCCGGTAGCACCTACGTCCAAACATCAGACAGCTCCTGAGCGTCGGTGGGCAGATGTTGCCAGGGCGTAGAGACCGTCGTCTTGACATCCTAGTCACATCCCTCTAGCTACCCCTCGCACGCACTCTCCCTACCCAGTTTTTGCGTTGCCTTGCTCAACACCAAGTGACACTCATTTATCCTTGTATCAAGTAGAAGAGATTGTAAACGAAAAGAACTTCATTCCTCAGCTTCGGCTGCTCCTGTGGCACGCGCACAGGACTTCGACATTAAACATTCAACACAGCTGAGGGTGACAGACAATGTGTCTTACAGATACAAGCGTGCGACAGCTCGAGGACGTGATATACTGAACAACGAGGAGAGGAGAAGAGACAAGCGAGCACACAAAATAGGGAGGCTGATGACTCGCAGAAGAAAAGAGGAGGTGATGTGTATGGAGGGGGCGATACGAAAGTCGGAGGGAATGATATATGCTACGAAGAGTGTCCGGCAATATGATAGGGACACACAGAACGCGCCAGGGGGGCACCGTCTGTGGCATTGTTTCTCATGCAACGCTGTGCGCGACGCGCACTCACATCGCCGCCACGCCCAAGCCCTGGAAGCCGACGCGACCGCTCGCGACCATGGCCTGCGGCTGGTGCTGCTGCGTCTGCGCAGACGGCGACTGGGCGAGCTGGAGCGTCTGGCCAGGCGCGAACACGGGTGTGCTCTTCTCCTCGAGGTCGGTGTAGACAACCGTCATCTCCTTGCGGGCCTTCTCCCAGTTCTCGGGGTCCCAATACGAGTACGTGCCCTGCTCGCCGCCGGGGATCTTCGCAGAGGATGGTGTACCGGTCTCCTTGGTGATCCACAGACGGAGCTCCTTGTGGTATCTCCAATTCCTGTTCCATCTGCATATGGCGTTAGACTTTCGTTGCCACCTGCTCGGGACGGTGATACGTACAGCTCTTGTGCAGCGATCTCCTGGAGGGCATCTCTTGGCGATGCATAGAACATGAAGAAGAGTGTCTCGTCGCTGAACGCGGCCGCCTTGGCTGGACCAGGGGGAGGCGGGGCCACATTATAGCACGTCGGGAGGTGGAAGTCGGGTTCTACGGTATGTGCTGCTGATGAGTCCGCCCAGGGAGTGATGAATGTTGAGTACAAACTTCTGAGTACCAGTCAGCAGGCCCGGCACGGGGAGGGGAGAATGTACTGTTACGCACCCCGGTGTCTGCATGTCCAGCCCCATTGTACCCAAATCCGTTCCCACCGAGAGCAAACTCGTGTCAAGATCTGCGCTCTTAATCATGGCCAGAAGCCCAAGGAGGCCCCATCTGTCTGCCGGCGACATGAGCACCTGCTGCGCCGGTGTCTGTGGTACTGCCGTCCCCGATACTTGTGCCGAACTCTGCGAGGGGTGTAGGGGTGTATCTCCCGCCACGGTGCCGTTTCCTATATAGGGCGTATGTAGCGGGACTCCAGGTGTCTGTCCCTGCTGCTGCTGTGGTGGCTGTTGCTGAGAGAACGACGCTGGCAGTGGGAGACCTGGTAGTGCAGAGATATGTTGTTGTTGTGGCTGTTGCGGTTGCCCGCCAGGTGGCTGTGTCGACTGTACGTGATTCGGGCGTGTGCCGTTCTGCGACGGAGGGAAGCTGTTAGCCTGCTGCTGACTGGGGTTCGCGTTGGGAGAAGTCCAAGCGAGATTGCTCTGATTGTTGAGCTTAAGCGCGTAATTCTGAGTTAGGGAGGAACGCCCGTCAGCACGACAGGATAGACTAGGCACGTCGTGTGGCACAGCGGGACGCATGACTGGAGGGGACGACTTACCCGCTTCTCGGCTTCCGACTGGAAGCTCCCTGGACTCCTCGCCTGGCCCAAGTTCAGCACCCCTGGTTGCTGCTGCCCGCTCCCTGCCAACGATCCCAACAGGTTCTGTCGATGCTGCTCGTTACTCTGCTGCTGGAAGCCGTTCAAGCCTGGCGGATGGCTATCTGCGTTCTGAGGCGTTTGCGCGGGTTGTTGCTGCGTGATTTGTGTTGACCCGCCGAGTGCAGGAAAATCATCCGCTGTGAAGTCCCTCTGCCCGCTCTGATTACTCGACGTCCCGTTCCCAACAGTCCCTGCCCCTGTACCTGCCTGGCTCGCATAGCTCGTAGCATTCGTAGTTGACGGCGTCGTTATGCTGGTTGGCGTCGAGCCCAGAGCAGGGAAGTCGTTGAGATCAAGGCCAGCTTCGCTGGCAGACGACACTGAAGGGGCCGTCCCTAGACTTGGCACAGAATTTTGCGCTAGATGTGGGGGGAGACCAGGAGTCGTCGCTGCTTGCTGGTTCTGGGGTTGCTGCTGCTGATGCGATGTATGCGCCAGAGGGGTCTGGGATGTATGTTGAGATGAAGTTTGTTGTGATTGTTGCTGTTGCTGTAAGCCGCCAACAAAAGGGAAACCACTTTGTCCTCGCTGCTGGATATAATTTGGCGACGGCTGAGGCACTACGTTCTGTGCCGGCCGATGATTTGGCAAAGCTGGATATCCAGGCATAACGTTTCGTGGCGGTATTCCGTATTGCGGAAATGGCGTGCGGAAAGGTCCTCCAAGCGCAGGATTGGGTCCAAGACTTGGCGGCCTTTGTGGTGGTTGCCCTGCGTGCATTTCAATGAACGAGTCTATTGCTGCTTGAGATCTGTAGTTACCTGCGCGATTCATTGTCGATTTTGCAGGATGTCAGAGGATTGCACAAACAGTTTCTGGCGGAGGTGATGCGCAAAAAATCGAGTCGGAGGTGTGGCAGAAGAAGCCGGAGACAAGAGGCGGTTTGCAATTTCGCACAACTTCCATATAGGCGCGTGCTGCAACATGGCTTTGATACCTCCCACCACCATCTCCTCGCAAATGTTCTCATAATTCATGGAATATCCCCTTTAATCAGCTTCGGTCCTTGCTCACACTCTTCACTTTCGCTCTTGCCCCTGTTTAGCCCGAAGGACGCTACGCCCGAGACTTTTCACACACACAAGTTTGCCCGTGATGGAGGTTCGTGCCGACCCGATATAAGCTGGCCCCTATCGTCTCCTGACACGCGTTGAATATCAGGTCATTGATCGTCGCTCCGCTCTACTTTCTAACTACGAAGTCTTGACCCTCCTGCGCGAACTCGAGAGCGACCACCTTGCCAAAGCGCGAACCGCTTTGCGCATCAAAAAGGAAGAGGAGGCGTCGGGGTCTCTCGTCAAGCATCATGCTGTACAGGAGGAAGTCTGCGAAAATTTGAGGACCATCGAGGTTGAGGTGCGTCATTCATCGCTGCTGATCCTTCTCCGCCTGACTATCTCCGTCTAGGCGATCCAATACCTGTCTGCTGATTACCAGCCCACTGGGTCGCAGAGTGAGAACGGCATAGTGCAACTCACGAAGAGCCTTGCCACCTATGACCTTACGAAAGCGGAGAAGCTTCAAGTTGTCAATTTGGCTCCTACAGAGCCTGTTGAGCTCTACGTGGTGGGTAAACCAGTGTCATCTAGTTCCGCTTGCGACCCACTATTCCCCGGGCACCACGACACGGCGAAGGGGCAAGCTATGCACGTCAGTGCCACAGCCCGTCCACATGGCCACCAAAGACCTCACAGGCCATCACCTAGTGCTGAACAGCATAGCTCTGGGTGTGGATGCATAGTCATGTAAATTCCTTCTTGCTTTTCTTCGGATTTCTTGTCGGGGGTCCTGCCGCAGCCGGCTGCGCGAGACATGGCTCTCTGCAGGACAATTCGGAACGTTAATCTGGAAAAAATCCTACGAAAAATCGAGCTTATTCGGACGTTGCTTCCTTACGGAGCGGTACTTTCGCATTATGTTTTTCTCCCATCGTTGTAATACCAGCACAGCCTATACCTGTTTTGATGGTTTTCGGCTCTATACCATAGTACATAATGTATGTATGTATGTAGGATAGTGATAGTTAGTCTAGTAATAGGAATCGAAGGCTGGTCAGCGACCTATAGCCATATGCATCTATTTTCAAGTACTCACTGCGCGAAGAACGGGAAAACAAGGTGGTTGCTTGAGCCATGGGAAGGCAATGTTTCAGCGTCTGAATGGTACGCCCGCGGTAGATGGGTGCTCCAATGGGTGCCTGTTATGCTCGGTTCACCTTGCTAGAAGACACGCAGGCGATCGCAGGTGATCGCAGATGAGGATGTAAACAACTGCGCGACCAGGTTCTTGGTACAGATAGCGAGGCATACCCGCAGCAGCCGGCTACTAACATGTGAGCGATTGGGGCGGGAGCGAGCAAGCGAATCTTATTGCTTACGACACAAACCGCAGCTCAATCTCGGCTAGCCGTCGTCTACGTCTAGATCGTCCTCAAAACCCGCCCCTTCCTCCGTGTCATCGAAAACGACCTCGTTCGCATCATGTTCCCACCGCTCTCTCTCCACGTAGGTGGTGTCGTTGTAAAAGTATTGCTCTGATGCCGCCTCGGCATGCACAGAGGCGAACGCAGCGACCTCTGTGACATCCTGCTCTACCAGTGAGGAGCGCACTTTCTGGAGCATTTCGTCAATCCGATCACCGAAGCGGTCTTCCAGCTCTTCAACGATCTGAGAAGGGGCGTTAGAACACCCCTTATCTGAGGGTGTTGTACGCGTAGCCGCCGTACGACTGGCCCGACGTGGAGTGGCCGCTTGTCGAGTGGCCGGCATAGCTCGAGGTTTCGTCGTTCCATGTTGACGGTGTGGGAGCCGTCAACATGTTCCCTGGTGGGCAGGGTGCGTCATAGGGTTGCCGAGGCTGATACGAGCCGTAGTTATCGTATCCGCTCGCGTTATACGACCTGTCGTCGACGACGGGGCGTAACGTCGACGGGAAGTACTGTGTGGTTTGTGCTTCTGGCATGTACCGATAGCTGGTAGAGGCGAGGCGGGGCACGTCAGCAGTTTGGTAAGATGACTCGCTACCGGTCCAGACATACTCGTCGGTCCGAGGCTGGGGCATCGCTGGGGTGGGGAAAGACATGATTGCTAGTGGGGCAGGTTGGACAGACGGCGGTACCGACTCCTGGCTTTTATTGGCGGGACCGAGCCTTGCTGTGCATTATGCTGAGTGACTTGATTGATAAGGTTTTGTGGGGCTCGCTTCCATGCCGTCTCGCTGCATTGCTCCGTCATTGCCGTGCATGAGTGTTTGAATGGTGTGCGGTGCATTATGGTTGCGGACAAGGGCCTGTGGTGCCTCAAGGGCTGTACCGGTGCCGGCGCCGGGGCTTTCGGGTTCGACGTTAAGACCAGAGGAATGCCTCGAAAGCGAAGCAGAGGACCAATGGTCTTCTCACAGAAGCAAGACGTATAGCGGGAGCGACGACCCGCCGGTCGCAGCTAGAGAGTCGCCGTACGTGGGTGGCCCTCGTGCAGCGCAGAAGTCGGCACATATCGGAGCACGAATGGGTCGCATTCGAACGAGAAGTCTCCTTAGTCTTCTCATGATGCCTCCACGGACCTCGGGAGCGACCCTGGGGCCAGTGCAAAGAGGCACGCGAGGCCGGTGCATGTCGGCGAGCGGCGATGCGTGATTGCCGCCTGTAGCGCTTTAAGGCAGATCCTCGGAGTTGTGGTCCGACCTCAATTTCCCGGGTGGTCTCCACGACGGTCCCCCAGGCCATGTCCCGCTGATGAGGTAGGAGTGAAGCATTATCCGGAGGGCGGTGCGCGCAGCTTTATTCAACTAGAAGTCTGATCTCGACGCGACGGAGAAGGAGCTCCTATAACATTCAACCTGGTCTCTCCGACAGAGGAAAAAGCACAAAAACAACAATGGCGCAGGATAAGCACACGCGATGCCAGGGACTAGTCTTCGTTGGCTGTCAGACTGAGAGTCGAGACCGCTTACCGTAGTCTCCTTATCTCCGAGTCTTTCGTGCAGTCCGTGCATCACATGGAAGTCGTAGCGCTTCTTAAAGTTAGTCAAGCGATGTGGATTCAGTGTCTATAGGCCAGTCGGGGAAGAGAGGCAACATTCTCCCACATACGGCAAGAGCTCATCGAAGGAGGGGAGAGGAATAGGTGACCGTTTGAGGAGCGAAGTCGAGAGAAGTCAGTAGATAGACCTCCGTAAAAATAATAGAACTGCGCACCAAAAAGCCCTTAAACTGGCTAAAGGCCATCGGCTGAGCTTCAAGGAGGACATCGACGACTACGCGTTCAGGGTTTCAGCGGCCTTGCCAGGTCCAGGGAAGGAGATCTGGAGATAACTGCCAATAAAAGCAACAGTTACGAATGACGAAACGTTTGCTATCGCTTTATGTGACGTCCCAGATGTAAAATTTCAAGAGGAGGTATAATAAGGGCCCAGGAATGTTATCTGCTATTGATACCTATTTGGCCTACGGCTTCGTGGCGCGGCTACTCGGCTGATCGCATATTGGCGCCCTTTCGACGAAAGCGAGTCCGACGTACCTTGAAGATTGTTCCTCGTCGCTTTCTTTCTCAAAATATTGACAGATAGTTTTTTGTGTCAGATTTAAATAGCTCACATCTTATGCGCATGACAGTAGCATGATGGTTGGCGGTAGTTAATATTGTTCCCGCTCTCCAAGCAGGTTACTAGCACTGACGTCCGGAATGTGCTGAAACCGCTCGGCACTCATTCCAGGCTAATAAATACAGTAAATAATTACATAATTTTGTATGTGATCAGAAGTAAACATCGCTCGGAGCGTTCTTACAATGATTGTGGAGCTATCCACCCTTCCTTAAGACAGCGCGCGTTTCAACTTTCAAGGTTTTAAAGACACTCTAAATTCATAGAAAAATTATGATAGGTGCATCGTGGTTGGAAAACTTTAATAGTGATGCTAGAAGACAAAGGTACTCGCATACAAATCGGAGAGGTGGGAAAGCGCTATGTTTTCGCATATCGACGGCCCATTGATGATCTTCTCAAGATGAAGGCCATGAGCTAGACTGGTAGATGTTGTGAAAGACTTCGCGCAGGCGGGGGATTCACGAGTAATCAAGCATTTATTCCTAGAATAATACTACATGTTCTTATATAGGTTATCTACTTCCTAATCTGGTCAGACCAATAAAATGTACCTTAGGAAGCTGAGACTGCAAGGAAACATAACGGGGCGCAGTGCCGAGAGTGCTCTGCGCGGGTCATATCTAAAACGGGCATGACAGATCCATATTGGGCATGACGGCCTAAGCGCGCCATGTCGGTATCTCTGCCGGCGCGGCTGATGCGCATCCGGCGCCTCAGATACTACAACAGTAGAAAACCATGCTGAGGCTTGAATGTGGTTCTGCAAATGAGTTATAGTCACTGGCATGGGCAGAGCTGGAATGCCTCGTCCGACCGAGCTGCTGGTCTATAGGCCGAGAGCGGGCGCTTCGTTGTGTAAAGTTGCCTAAATGGGTGAAGGAGCGGCAGTAGGGCGATTGGCCATCAAAAGTGCAGGATCCCTCCCATTCACGTACTGTAACTCTTTACCGCTGGTTTCTGAAACACTCTAGAGCATGTATGAGGTATGATGCATAGGCCACGCAAAGTCTTAGCATTATGCATCTGGTGGATCATGCTCGACGGCCACGGAGAGTTTGAGTGTTCAACGTTCAAGTTTCAAAATTTCAGGTTCCAAGATTTTGCCGCGGCCGCCTCGACCTTCTAAGACCTTCCGGGCTTAGCGAGCCGTCGCGATCGTCAATCACTCGCACCGCTCACATAAATACCCGCGGCTTACCAAGCTCAGCCTGCCACCGCTCAGCCTCGCGAGGGGCCCTCCAGAACAAGTCATACAGGAGGTTGATAAGGCTCATTCAGACGTCGCTCTTAGAAGAAGCACGATAACACCACAATGGTGGAGAACATTTCGATACGACGACTTCAAAACCCCAAAGGTACGATTCTTGTTTTCTAATTCGCTGTTCAAGTACGGATACTGGTTTGCAGCCCCAGAGATAGACCAAGTCGCCAGGATTGTCTCAGATGCGCTGTATGACGGTTAGATGGTATTCTCCCACTGCCCACTTCGACCTTACAGACTGACAGCATACCAGGTACACTAGCACATCTGGGCTGCGGCGGTGACAAAGAACTCTTCCGCAAGTTACAACGCGCTTTCGCAGCAGGCGTCGCCGTCAGTGGCCATTTATTCGCGGCATTCGATGACAAAAGTGGCGAGATCGTCGGTTCTATTGCCTTCTTCGAGCCCGGGAAAACTGTTCTCGGAGAGTGAGCGACTGTGGTTGGACAATGCTAGCCATGACGCTGATCCTAGCGCTACAGCGAAGCACAAAGGGCACAAGGCTTTGATGACTTTGTCGCCCATGTTCCTCCGGAACTGACCCTGTTCTGGACTGTCGTAAGTCTGATATACCCTTGCTAGCTTCATTGAGCTATCATGAGCGAAATTCTGTTCTAGACTGCATACGAGGCTCTTGCAGAGGTTGATGAAGCAGCCGGAGAGGGCGGAAAAGAAAGGGCGTGGTCTGCCCACAGCTTCGCTGTGAGAGAGGAATTTAGAGGCCGAGGCATTGGCAAGGCCCTTCTTGCCACTGGAGAAGCCCTGGTAAGGTCTCCGAATGTTTTGCTTTGTCACTCTGCTCATTATGTTCTAGGCAGAAGCTGACAGGATGCCCGTGATCTTCGAGGCCGAGCACCTACATAATGTACGTAGCAGTCCTCTTCGAGTGATGGAATATGAACTTCCCTCGTTGAAGGTGTTGGTGTACAAGCATCTGGGCTACAACGCCGTGCAAGTCTTACGCATGAAATCGATGGGCAACAGAGAGTATACGGTATTTCGCAAGGGCTTTGCTGAATAGAGCGACGAAGTCAAGGGTGTCCCGGTTCGGTACGCGTACCGAACTCTGTCCGTGCCCCTTACTCATTACCCTGATAGCCCTCAGCTATTAAAACATGTGTAGATTATCCTGCTCTTTTTCTTTTCAGTTCAACTAAACCTGACAGCTGCGCGAACATTCGTACTCCCAACGTGACGGCGTCGGCCCGGGTGTCTGACTTACCCATTGCAGCTTCAGTCGCCCAGTAGTCCTGCTGACTAGCCGTCACGGATAGTAAAACGCAGAGATGCGACGGAAAACCAATGTCCGCGAACGTCACAGTCTGCGGCATCCCATCTCCCACAGAGGATGAGCCCGACCAACCGCCTCGGTGATGGCGGAACCACTGAAAAAACGTGAAGAAGCATCTATACTTCGTCATATTTATGAGTCGCTCACTCTTGCTCTTGCCGCAGGTTCTATCAGTAAGTGGGGTCGCCCTATACTTGTTCCGCGGACTTGGGGACCGCACTGCATCCGCGACCGCAGCGGAAGCGCTACTTTTCGTCACTTTCCTTGACAATATCATCAACGCGGTGGTGTTGTACGAGTCAAGGAAGGCCACTTGAGCGCAGGGCTGGACACATGTCAAAGTTGTAGCACCGAAGGTTGACTTTCCATTTGTGTATTGCCAGTGACTGACGGCATCTTTGTGATGCACATGGGACAACAGCACCTAGCTGGTAGTATGCACAGGCTCAGACAAGGTAATTCCAAGCTTTGGCTCGTTCTGCAGCCAGCCTTCCCCGCCTTCCAGATCGAATAGTCGATGTGAGAGTCGAGACCGTGAAACCCAGGATCACGTTCGAGACGCGAAAGGCCTCGACTGATGCTTCCGGCCGCACCAGTAGCTCGCGAATCCAACTGGACGGTACTTATAGCCAGTCCCTCTGTGGCGTCCGTTTCTGAGTTCCATACCGACCCTTGCAGCACTACTACAAGGAGCGTCGGATATATCCCCTTCATCACTGATGTGAACGCATGAAAGTTTGAGCAATGAGAGGTGCGACATACGACTAGCTGAATTTTGGTGTACCCCGAGATGCAGTCGACCATTCGGCCTACGGTCTCGTTGCCTCCGGTGACAATAGAAGTGACAAGTCGGTCACTGATCTTGATTACGGTGCTTAACAGGATTAATTGCGCAAAGTATCGTTTCACTTACCAGCATCACAACGTACAGCATCCCGGACTCAACCATCAGTACGAAGACTGTAAATATCTTGCTGGTTTTTCTCCGATTCAATACGCCCAGCAGAATTTCTCTCAGTATCCTGCGAATTGTTAGCCAATTTTCGGTCCAATGTATATTCAGAACCCACCAAACCTTCCACAACACGAGTAGCATGACTGAGATGTTCGTGACGATGGATAGCACTGGCGCCGCGACGTCTGTCACTTTACATACCTTGGCATAGTCCGTGGTGGCTATACCCGACTGGCAGCGCGAAGCGTGAACTAGCATGTTCACTGTCAACTTTATGTGAGTATACTCTTTTAGTATCAGGAGAGGCTTCAAGTTGACATACCAACCATGAGGACCCACCAAAACAGTGGTAGCATCAGCAAAATAATCGGTGGCAGGTCAGAGATGGGTTACCAGGCAAGCGCCTAACAGCATGGTGGGCGCTGGCAATGCAAGAACAGGGGATACCAGGCTGATATCGCACTGCAGTTTCAACACGGACCGATATGTCATTGTAAGTCATTTCCCATCCTGTTTTAACTAGACATGACGCGGCCAGCCCACCCAGATCTCCGCTGTGACGTGACATCATGCATGCCGCCTTTCGAGAGGTGCTGCTGACCATCACATCTATGTTGACTGGCCAAACGAACAACAAAGTCTCCTTTGACCTCCCCTAAAGTTGCTCTGGTGAGTTTCCTTTTATGTCTTCGTCCATATAAGGCCGTCGAAGGCCATCCGCTTTCCATGCTCCTTCCTTCTGCCCACCACCATGCCCCCGCTCAATAGACAGCCACCCCCGGACGCCATGATCCTTTGAGATCCTTATCTCCACTTCTACTTTCCTCTCGCTCAACAGTGACTCCACTCCATGCTCACTCAGTGCAGTACGTCCCAAGGTGCGTGAGCGGTAATTTCTCTCGCGTTAGCACTGCAGTTGACTACTCATATGCACGGCAGCCGCAGCACCAACTTCCACCTGTCTGCACAGCTATGCAAGAGTCCTGTAATACGGGAGAACAGCGCGAATACACAAGGTCCGTTGATACTGTCCTACCTAAAGCATGCCTCGGACTCAGGCTCTTTTCGTCACTGTTATGACAGAGGTTTCTTAGCAAGCCTGAAGCTTGTCTGATCGCCTTATCCACAGATGAGGTTAGAGCAGAATAAAGAAACGTGAATATACGAAAGAGCTGAAAGCTGGGGTGCTACTGTACATGCGCGGGGTATTTATACTACTGCTCTGCCTAACCTAAGGACTAGTCTACTAGTCAAAGGGACTGCGAGTGAGTCAGT